GGCATCTTAAAACTTCAAAAGTTAATGTGTTAGTTATTTTAGGCACCAGCTCTGACATTTCACTGGGGCAAAACTGCCAGAATACTGTCCCCCAGAACCATAGGGAGAAATCAAGCCTCATTAGAGCAGTTACAATAGTAAATTTTTATGTATTTTGACCACTAAATTTAAACTCAGCCTAGATAATGACCTTTGTGATTTCCAAAGAACTTTGCCAAGTCTTTACTATGCTGGTGTCCTGAGTGCAGGGCAGGCTGTGGTAGAGAAAGAGGAGCTTTAATTCCCTTATCACTTTAGACCCTGGTAGGACTTGATCAACAGGTGAAGAAACAATGCCAATAGGGCCTGGAATATAGTCCTGAATATAGCACCAGGAACTACTTCGTTTCTCCTGGAGGAGTCTCTTGCATCCAAGCATGCTCCTTCCTGGAATCAAGGCACCTGTGGTCTCAGTGCCCTCTTATGAATTGCCTGGCCCTGAGTTACCAACTGTTGGTCTTACTTTGAGCTTCTTTGCCTCCTACTTATCAGTGTCCTTCCATCAGCATATTCAGATCAATCAAGTCCACAACAGAGAGACCAAGTATTGGATCCTTAGAGCTTGAGAAAAAGTAGGAAGTATTTTTCAACAACTCAAGGTCACGTCACTGTGCTTTCTTCCATTTTTTTAAAAAAAGCTTTTGGTTTTTAACAGAAGAAAAACAGGAGCTAAAATGAAGAGCTAAGTTCTCACTCCCTTTTCGTTAAACTTTTATTGTCTATGCTACAAGTCAACCAACAATAACTGTTGACTGTATAAATCTGAGCAAAAGACACAATAGAGAGATACAACATCAGTGGTCATGGGCAGGCAGTAGGGGAGGCAGAGGTGAATGAATTGGAGCCCAGACTTTGGAAGCCATGTCAGCGTCTCACTTTTTTTTTAAATTTTTTTTTCAACGTTTATTTATTTTTGGGACAGAGAGAGACAGAGCATGAACGGGGGAGGGGCAGAGAGAGAGGGAGACACAGAATCGGAAACAGGCTCCAGGCTCTGAGCCATCAGCCCAGAGCCCGACGCGGGGCTCGAACTCACGGACCGCGAGATTGTGACCTGGCTGAAGTCGGACGCTTAACCGACTGCGCCACCCAGGCGCCCCAACGTCTCACTTTTTTATGGCAACGTGGAAGCAAATTGCCTGGAACAACAAAGAGAGCAACTGGACTACCATAGAATCCTTCCTATGATAAACTTGAAAGCATCTTTGCTTTAAACAGTTAAATGCATTAGAGTTGACATAAAGAGGAAAATACCAAGGTGCAAAAAGTGAATATAATCTTTCAATAAAAGTTAATGCTCAGTGGAAGGTTAGTACCACCAGGGCGCAAGACTCTGATTGCATCCTAATTTTGATCAAAGTTGTAGGAACTGTTTGCTAAAGATTTAAGTGCTCTGTGCTCACAAGTTGACTTCTGTTTACCTACCACACTTCCTCATCCTGTGCACTAAAGGCTAACATTTGCCAGGAGGTTGCAAATCTAAAATCATGCTTAAACACTATTTTTTTATTGGTCAAAGCCCATGAATAAAATAATGGGTCAAACGACCTAATCTCTCTTAAGGAAATATCAACTATCAGACAACTGAAACAATATGGAACAACCCAACTTGAACTTTAATGATAAGCTTTGAGGGTGGGGTGGTGAAGAAGGGAGTTGGGGAGGAAGATATAAATGTGCTAGACGGAGGCAATAAAAGCAAAATGAGAAAATTCCAGGTAAGATGAAATAAGCACACTAAACCCATCTGTCCCACAACTATAAACCCTGAACCGAATGCACGGAGCATATATTGGGGTCCCTGAGGAGTGAATAGGAGCAGGCTAATCAGGGAAGAATACCAGACTTGCAGTACTGCTGGACAGTGGTACATTTACCATCTATTCCTTCCAAGTATCCTTCAGCCTGAACTGAATGCAGTGGATGCCAGGAGTGAACACCCTGAGCAGACAGTGAGGTCTGGGAGAAAACCTGAGGCTCTGGTTGGAGGAGTAAAAAGGGGAACTCCTAGTGATCAGAAAGTGCAGAGGGGTGCCCGGGTGGCTCAGTCGGTTAAGCATCTGACTTCGTCTCGGGTCACTATCCCACGGTCTATGAGTTCAAGCCCCACATCAGGTTCTGTGCTGACAGCTCAGAGCCTGGAACCTACTTCTGATTCTGTGTCTTCCCCTCTCTCTGCCCCTCCCTAGCTCTCGTTCTGTCTCTCTCTCTGTCTCTCTGTCTCTCTCTCAAAAATAAACATTAAAAAAATTTTTTTAAAGAAAGTGCAGAAATTCTCCGTTTGTGTGGCTACTTTTTCTCTCCCCTCTTGTTTCCATTCTCTCATGCACTAGCTACAAGACAATCCACCAAGCAGTGGCAGAGACCAGTAACGACCAGTAATTTGTATACCCATATGCTAAAAAATAAACGTCAACCTAAACCTCACATCTTATTCAAAAATCACTTCAAAATGGATCACAGATCTAAATGTAAAACATAAACTATAAATATATAGACTAAAATATAAAGAAAAAATCATAAATTTAAAGCGTTCGATCTGGGAATATCAATGGCAAGACAATGAAATGGCAAGATACATACTGGGAGAGAATTTTTTGAATCACAGAGCTGACAAAGGACTTGTATCCAGAATATAACTTTAAAAACTTTCAAAACAACAAATAAGAAAGAAAATTTGAGTGGGTGAAACACTTGAACAGACCCTGCACCCATGAGAATATGAGGATGTAAAAATAAGCTCGTGAAAAAGTCTTCAACATCATTAGTCACTAGGGAAATCGAAATTAAAGCCATGATGAGATACTACCACACACTTATTAGGATGACTAAAATAAAAAATACTGACCTTGTAATACAACCAATCTCTCCTACATCACTGCCAGGAATGCAAAATGATATTTCCATTGTGGAAATGGTTTGGCAGTTTAAATGTGATCTTAACCTATGATCCAGCAATTCCATTTTGAATACCTACCCTACAAAAATGAACACGTCTATTCTTGAAACAATCTGTTCGTGAATGTTTATAACAGCTCTATTCTAATTGCCAAAAACAAGAACCAACCCAAAGTGGTTGAATAAACTGTGGTATGTACATATAATGAAATAGTACTCAGCAATAAAAAGGGACAAACCTCTGATATATTCAACCACTTGGATAAAGCTCAAAACATTATTCTATAAAAGGAGCCAGTTTCAAATGTTGCATACTCTAATGTTATACTTAGATGGTATTTTCAATAAGATAAAACTGTAGGCATGGAAAACATACCAGTGGTTGCTGGGGTTGGGATGAGGGAAGGGGTGAACTATAAAGGGGTAGCAAGGAAGCTTGGGGGTTGGGGGGACAAGGAACTGTTCTGTATCCTGATTATAACGGTGGTAGCATGAACCTGTACATTTGTAAAAATGTATAATGCTGTATACCCAAAAGTGATCAATATTAGTCTGATAACTTATAAAGCAGTTTTTTGAAGAGAAATACAAAATTGAACCCAAAGGAATTTTTATCTTCAACTTTATTTTATTTTTTATTTTTTGTAATGTTTATGTATTTTTGAGAGAGAGAGAGACAGAGACAGAGTGTGAGCGGAAGAGGGTTAGAGAGAGACAGAAACACAGAATCTGAAGCAGGCTCCAGGCTCTGAGCTGTCAGCACAGAGCCCGACGCGGGGCTCGAACTCACCAACTACAAGATCATGACCTGAGCTGAAGTCAGACACTTAAGCGACTAAGCCACCCAGGCACCCAATTTTATTTAATTTTTATTTTATTTTATTTTTAATGTTTTTAATGTTTATTTATTTTTTGAGAGAGAGAGAGACAGACAGAGTGTGAGTAGGGGAGGGGCAAAGAGAGAGAGGGAGACACAGAATCTGAAGAAGGCTCCAGGCTCCAAGCTGTCAGAACAGAGCCGGACGCAGGCCTGAACCCACAAGCTGTGAGATCATGACCTGAGCCAAAGTCAGATGCTCAACTGACTGAGCCACCCAGGCACCCCTTATTTAATTTGTAAATAAATGTTTCTTCATTTTTGAGAGAGATAGTGTGAGTGGGAAAGGGACAGAGAGAGAGAATCCCAAGCAGGCTCTACTCTGCCAGTGCAGAACCTGACACAGGGCTTGAACTCACGAACCTTGAGATCATGACCTGAGCTGAAGTTGGACATTCAACTGACTGAGCCACCCAGGCACCCCGGCTTCAACTTTATTTTAAAATGTTGGTTTCAGGGGTGCCTGGGTGGCTCAGTCAGTTAAGCATCTGACTTTAGCTCAGGTCATGATCTCACGGTTAGTGAATTCGAGCCCCATAATCGGGCTCTCTGCTGACAGTGCAGCACCTGCTTCGGATTCTCTCTCTGTGTCCCTTTCTCTCTGCCCCTCCTCTGCTCACTCTCTGTCTCTCTCAAAATAAATGAATAAACTTAAAAAATATATATATACTGATTTCAAGTCCAGGAATTGAAGGCATGTAATGACTGCAGACCAGTGTCATCCTATCACTGAATCCTGCCACCAGAAACAGGGCTCCCTAGACCCTCGGAAAGCAGTTAGGTGACAGACTGGCAATCCTTTAGATGATCTGACAGCTGTAAATGGCCAGTCTGTACAATCCTGGTTGACCAGAAATATTTTTCTGTCGATAATTCAAATTGGTTGTCTACACTGCCTCAGAATGTCCAGGGAGTTGCCAACCCTGGAAATTACTTCCAAGTATTTGGCAGACTGATAATTGGCCACGATTTAAGTTGTTCTAACATCATTGCTCTTTTCTGCCTTCTAAAATCTATGCTTTTTTTGGTCCCTTTGACCACCCCCCCCAAAACTGGAAACCTCTGTTTTAAGTCAGCTCCATATCTTTAACTTTCCTTTCTTTCCTGAGACCTCTGTCTAAACCCTTCTTTGTAAGTGGGTGAGTACAAATGAAGATGTCCGGTTATCTGGTGTTGGCCTAGGCCAAGAGAGGATTATGGTCTGTTTTCTGTTCAATTTCTCCCTCTTCACCCCACTACCAATGTTCGGAGAAACCCATTCGGAACCAGCATGCTCCAGCAACTCATTCACTGACCCCTGTCTCTAGAGAGCAGGCAGCTGGGGTCACGCAGATGACCATCAACTGCCCATTTTAAACCCCTCATTGCTTTCTCCTAGCGTCTAATAATATGGCCATCAGTCGAATTGCGTATGATAAACAGACAATAAACTTACTGGATGTGTTTTACAGAGCACTACCACCTTTGTCTCTGTCGTAGTGCTTGTCCCATAGTTTCTGGACAAAGCCTTCCAGGAATTCAGATTCCCATTTAGCCAACATCATGAGAGCCTCTTATAGGCAGGGTGCTTTTATGTGTATTATCTCACTCAATCTCCAAAAACGCCCATCGTCTTCAAAGTATTTCTTAAGCACTAATTTGCACTACGTGCTGTGTTAAACTCACATTTAGGCCATTTCAGAGCCTTCTAAGGCCTTTGCAACACGATCTCATGGGCATATCTACCTAAACACACGCAAGTTTTAGAGTATTACTTGAATGTTTTTATTACGTATGTTTAAGACAGAACACCCTCAAATGTGGGCACCACAACATTTAACACACCCACCTTGGGCAAGTGGCAAGTGAGGTGTGGCACAGGGTACATAGTAACATAATACGTGGTGGGTACCTGGTGCTTTTTATGATCCACAAATACAAGCTAATTGGTAAAAAGGATACCTGCAGTATTTATTCATATCACCTGTTAATCTGTCACCATCCAGAAGCTTTGGACAAGTTACTACCACAGCCTTTAGCTGAACAAAGTTTGAGCATTCAGCTGGAGGACCGCATTAAGTCTTTGAGTCTTTTTTCCCTCGTCGTGGTAAAACGTAACAATAGCTAAGCAGAGGCAGTTAGACCAGCGAGTCATCGTCTGTGATTCTTTCACTTAACCAGTGCCAAAATCAATTTTGAAGCATTATCTCAAAGTTGCTTTCAACTCGATCTGGGTGTTTCTCTTCAGCTAGAATATCACCCCCTACACTGGAATCTTTATTATATCACACTAATCTAATTTAAATGCGTTTTTACTGTACTTGGTTTAATGAATGTGGAATGTGTCACTATGAAATTGCACCATTAATTTGATAAATAGGACTTGAAGGTATAATTTTTTCCAGCATTGCAGACTAATGAAGCTAAAATACATATATAATAAGAAGTGTAAATAATAAATTATTCTTAGGAGCAAAAAAATTAATTAGATCTTACCACAGATTGCATCTCAATGTCAATTTTTTCCCCCCAAAACTACTGACTTTCAAACTACTTGGAACACCATGGTAAACCTTGGAAAGTTTCTCAAGTGATTACCTTCCATCCTGGGAATCTGTTTTAAGAAACCGCTATTGTTCAAAAAATCCTTTTAAGATGCCAGTACGGATCCCCTGTTGTCATTTCTACAGGGCATTTAGAGTATCTAGATGAATTAATCTTTTTTTTTAAGTTGCACAGTTTTATTTATTCATAAAGACTCCTGAAAATCCTTTCAGATAGTATGCTGTGGAGATGGAAAAAAAAACAAAAAACCAAAAACCAGGAGACCTTCTATGCAAATTTGCCTCCAAAGGCAACAGAATTCCATCCACAGTGATTTCAGGGGAAAGTTCCTCCTACAAGCTGGCTGTTCACAGGAAGTCTGTGTTGTCCATGGGCTGAAGGATGTGATAACAGAGAGCGATGGGTCACTCCCCAATTACTGTTCAGATGCACACTCCGTGGGTAAGAACCAGATAGCCACTAAGCTGGAAATTAGCTGGGTAATACGCACACTAAAACCAGAGACCAGATAATGCTCCAAATGAGATTCTATTCCTTGGGCGGAGGGAAAGGAATTATGACTGGCATTATGAGTTTTGGTTCAGGTTCAGCATAAGAGCAGTGACTTTAGTGTTTGTATATATTAGCCAGTAATTCCGAGAACTCTAATTAATGGAATCTTTGCAGAAGACATCAGCTACAGGATGTCCCGTCTGCTTAGAAACACAAGAACTACTGAAATCACAATGTACAGCGCTGTGAAGCCCATTTGGAGATTTCAGTCCTTGTTTTAATTTTCTATATTAAGTTGAAAAACAAAGTACCCATCATACACAATGACTATGTTTTGTGTATGTTTTCTTTGTCAGATATAAGGGTTTTTTAGCTTCGTTTTCAAAATGAAATTTTCCCTTAGGAAAAAATTCCAAGGAAAAGGGGAAAGAAGCTCTTGGAATTAGAATGAACTATGTGGGGTCCACCCACCCTCTCTTTTTCCCCAGCTGGAGGTCTGTACATTCAAAGACAATTTAATCACCCTCTGTCCCTTCCCTGGCCTGATGCAGGACGCTGGGCCAAATGCTATCCCGGCCTTATTTTCTATTCCTAGTGTGTAGTTTAACAAACAATGTTTTTATTTCTTGTTATTTGATTTGGAGCCAAAATTCTGACGTGGCATCAGTTTTGTTGCCAGATAATGCATTAAACCTTACTGAGGGGTAAACATAATGATCTTCATTAAACCCTTTAAATGAACCCACCTCCTGCTTCTTCAGGTTGAGAAAAGCATTGACAGGGAACATTGTGGAAGCGTCTTGGAGTTATTTTCTTCTTGTAACAGGGGGAGGGAGAGATGAGTGGCAGCTTTTAGGGGGCGAAAGAAAGTTAGGTAAACATAAAAGGTTTTGTAAGATTTCCTCTCCTAATGGCAAAGTTTTAGAGCAATAAATCACAATTCAGTCAATACCATTAGTTTTGGGGCATTATATACCCTCATTAAAGTGCATAAACAATTATATTTATTGAAGGTAATGTACTGTGTAGTGCATTATAACGACACTCATTAACATATGTAATCATCATTTGAATGGGCTTTACTACAATGTAAACTGATAATGGCATGATTGCACACTGGGTTATTAACTTTTCAGTCTTAAGATAATGAAAGGTGATGCAAGAAACCAAAAGCACATATGCATGGCCTTTCATTTGTGAGTTACGCATTTCCATCCCCAATTCTAAGCTCAGGTACCCATGCTCAGGAGTTCATTTTACCTATTGTGTTGACACAGGACCAGATTCCACAAGGTGCTTTGAAGTGGGGTGGGGGAGAGTATGTGGCAGGAACTAGCTCAGACCCAATAATGAAGATAATTCTGCTGGTGACCTATTTCCATCTTACATTGTGGCTTATACCGTTCATTCTCTGGTTTCAATATTTTCCCACACAGACGTGGATGATATCACCTGCTCTAAGAAAAATGGGAACTTCCTCCAAACTTTTCCTTTGAAAATTTCACTTACCAGGCAGGCATTTGCCTAATGATGAGGAAACATTTGAAAAACCCAGATTAAGGGGCAGTCTACTAAGGTGACAAGACCATGAAAGATGACGAAACAGTGGGGAACTATTCTAGATTAAGACAAACTAAAGAGACATGATAACAATGCAGTATCCGTTCCTAGATTCAATACTGGAGCAGAATTTTTGTCTCTTTTTCTATAAATATATCTTTTATCAGGACAATTAAAAATTTTGTATAAGGTCTATAGATTTGATAACAGCATTTTATTAATGTTAATTTCTTGATTTTGATAATTATACTGTGATTATATAAGATGTCCTTGCTCTATATATGTATGTAAAAGTATCTAAAAGTAAAGGCCCTTTATGTCTGCAACTTACTCTCAAATGCATAAAAAATGAATATATACTTATAATAATGATAGTAAATACTATACAAGGAGAGAATCAAAAAGCAAATCTGGAAAAAAAAGTCATAATTTGAGTGAAGGATATTCAGGAATTTTTTGCACTACCCTGACAGAATTCTCTAAGTCTGATATTATTTCAGACTAAAAAAAAAGAAAGAAAAAAAAAACATTTAGAATTAAAGACTTGACCATAAAAAGGCCATGACTTTAATTAAGCAGATCTTTGGCTGGCATTATCAGCAACAAGTCAGAATAATGATCAGGATCTCAGTACTCATTTACGTCCTTTATCTGCTCTGTCAGTGGAAGTCCCAGATTTGTGAGGACAGTTCTTAATTCCTTTGCTCCCAGCTGATATCTATTTCCTATATTTTAGAGTCAGGAATGACAAAAGGTTCGTGATATGAAAGGTAAAAGGCATTGTGCTCTAATCACCAAGATTAAAGAGTAATAGCGGTAGCCACTTAAAATTCCCTCTTAACCACGACTTCACAACCAGTTTCTACATCAGCCTGAGAGCTGTTCTCAAAAGAATGATTGACTTACATCTCTGCATAAGCCCGAACGAAAGCACTCCTGGCTGTTTCCCTCCTACACAAACCACTGCCTACACACTCTTAAGTAGCACCCAAACTTGGACCAGTGGGTCATGCAGAGTGGGTGTTAGCTTCCCAACCACACTCGTTATGGAGAAAATGAGGCAAATAAAGCTACAGGAAGTTACCCACTGAAGGAAGGACCACAATGAGACTCATCTCTGAAGTTTCTGGCGTTAGTCCTCTTTTGTTCCTCTAGACCACATAACCCTATGAAAGCAGTAATATTAATGTAATTTAAATTTTGCTTTCTTGGACATGTTTTTGGTTGTCTAGTTTCCACAGCGTTTCCCAGAAATGGAGGATTCTGTAGCTGAGAGCTACCCTTTTCAAGGTTCGGTTATGAAGGCAGAATTGACTGTGCCCAAGAACTACAGAGCAAACGTAATCAATAGCTCTCTATAAATAAGAGGAAATACATAATACATATGCATTTATCTAGAGATAACTAGACTTGAAGACTACATCTACCGGGTTAATGTTTTTATTAAATCATATTAGTGTTGGCACAATAATCTTTTCTCATTATAAATACTGAGCACTTTTATTTGCTACAGGGTATAGCTTTAAGAAATTTCCAATTGACTGACAGCTGCCTGTCAACTTCTGACTCTGGAGAGATCCAGGAACTCAGCTTGCAAAGCTCC